TATATAGGTAGGTACATTGTTATTAACTTAATTAGGGTACTTCTAAGCTGGCCTTTGCTAAAAACGTCCTGTTCGCTGAGGTCGACCCCTTCCAACTCTCCCATCCACACTCGTCTATGTGAAACAAGTATACAAGATGAGTGTGGATGGGAGAGTTGGAAGGGGTCGACCTCAGCGAACAGTACCTCAATCAGATTGAGGACATTTTTAGCAAAGGCCAGCTTAGGAGTACCCTAATTCAGTTAATAACAATGTACCCACCTATATAGTTTAAGTTTAAAAAATTTGGCTCTCAAAAGAAATTTCAATCGTTGTACTGTTGATATTTGGCTCTGTTGACTAACAAGTTTGCCAACCACTGTTCTAAGAGAAAGCCCAGTAAAAATAAATTGGTAAGGATTTTGAAGATTTTTAACAACACAATTAACAATCTCGACCCAAAGACAAATAAAGAACATCCATTAGAGAATACACATAATTTTAACTAATTTTAGAACATTTATAAAAATTGATAAAACAATAAATTACAAAGTAAATCTCAACAAATACAAAAAGAACTAATACACAGATCACAATCACTTATCACAAAGCAAATACAACTAGAAATCAAAGATAACCTCAAACCCCAAACATATAGATCTAAACCAGGTTTCTCAACCTTAACACTAGTGACATTTGGAACCAGGTAATTCTTTGTTTGGGGCGCAGACCTAGCATCTACTAGATGTCAGTAACAAACCTCCCAGTCTTCACACAATGCCAAGTGTCTGTGAAGGACAAAAATCATCCCAGGTTGAGAACCACAGGTCTAAATGAGTTCAATTAAAAGTCTATGTGAAAAATAAAAGATGCAATTCTGTTTGCTTCACAGGGGGCCTAGCATATAACAAGCATTCCATAAAGGTGTATTGTTAAATAAAATTTCCTCTTTAAAACTGATTACAAGGCTTTAAAAGTTTCAGCCCAATCCTAGTCCAAATTTCTATTTATTACAATGTAAAAGAGAGTAATAAAATGTACTATTCATTTAATTCTTATGTAATACTCAAATGAACAGCCACTACCACTGCCTCCTGAAAAAAAGGCAGAACCATCTAAAACAACAGTATTTAGAAAGGCCACACTAGGTTTTTTCCATGTAAATGCTTTCTCCCACCCATCTTTAATTTTTTAATGTGAACCACTCAAATTTATTTATTCAACAAATATATTCTAAATGCCTACTATGTGCCAGCACTGAAAGAATTACTGAAAATGTAAAAGAGATATACAGACAAAAGTATCTTCCCTCAAGGAACTAACAGTATAGTAAAAGCATACAAGCAAATAGTTATAAAACCACATAAGCATAGAAAGAAACTGCTAAGAAAGCAGAAAAAGGGCAACTTAAGACTATCCCCCTAAGGTTTTTAGAGAAAAATAGGGAAAGATGCTGATGAGTAAACTAGGTTTTGTTTTATTTTGGGGGAGTTGCACCAAAATTTGGCACCAAAATTTTCTTCAAATACATGTGTGATGGATCTTAAATTCAACGTATCTCTATTATTACCAAGTCTGGCAAAAGAGAAGTTTGTTATACCTAATACATTTATACTTTGATAGTTATCTGGACACATATTTTTTTCAAAATTAAAGACATCTATATCAATTTAAACTTGTTTTTTAAATGTTTACCTTAAGCTTTAGAAAAGCACAAATAAAATATGATGTTCAAAAATATAATATTAATTACTGAAGTTTAAAAATAAGTGGAATTAATACATTTAAAATAATCTAGAACAACATACAAAATTGAATGCATTAAAAAGATATCCTTTAAAACTTTATTTTCTGCAATCATCAACATTTTAAACTACTTTAAATACTTACAAGTAAAATTCATTTTATTTTGGCTATTTTCCCAGTTAATAGCAATATTACCACACTTTTTGATACCCATTATCTCTGATATCAGACAATTTTATTCTCTTAACTTGTGCCTCCTCTAGTGGTTTAAAAGTAGAACAACACAAAACCAATCTTTGAATTCCACTGGTTTTATGTTTTATAAAATTTATTTTTATCAGATTAAAATCAGATTTTGGGTCAAGATCTTGAGAACATAAGTCTCAGCCAGATTATTTTTTTTAATCTTAAAATATTTTCTCCTCTAAAGACTGAGAGCATACTTTAATGAGAGCATATCACATCTGTGTTATAATTGAAATGTTTCTATATAAATACAAAATGTCCATTATTATACTAATCAATATAACGAACTTACAATGCTGTATATCTGTCCATTGCAGACTGCACGTCTCTACGGTAAACTGTTCGAAGAATGACCATGACGGGGTCAAACTCCTGATCCCAGACTTCAGCTATTATTCAAAAGAAAGTAGAAACAAAACACTGACTTCATAGGAATAAAGCCAATCTCTAATGATGAATTACATTAAGTATATTTTAAATTTAAAAGATGGGCGAGTTTAATTAGATATATTTGCTTTAATAAGCTTGATGTCATGAATACTTTCTAAATCAAAAATCATAATTTCATCATTATGAAAGTTCTCAAGTTCACCAAGAACTAGTGAGCAAAAATCTTTATATGATAATACCCCACCATAAAAATTTAGTTCACTGGATATTTTTTATAAATTGTCAACCAGAAAGTGAGAAATACAATGCATTAACACTTTTCAAAGTTGTCATGGTAATGACATATTGAAATTGATCTCCTTACCGTCTCCATAATTATGAACCACTATCCTATGTATGATGGTACACAAGATGATTTTAAGTATTAACTGTACAAACCTTTTTATTTTAATAATTATATTAATGTGTATTAGAAAAATGTACATTGTAAATAAAACCTGTGATCTCACTAATAATCATGCATAGGATGAGGCAAAGTTTAAAAAAAGTGAATCTATTTAAGAAAATACAGTACACTACATATATAATAATAGAAATGATATTTAGATGTGGCAAAATCTACACAATAGAATAATAATTCTAGAAACTGCTACCTCTTTCCTAAATTAAGCTTTTTCCCCTCTCAGTATCTGTAGCAGAATTCTCAACATTTGGAAACATAGTAAGAAGCTTAATAGTAAAAAGGTTAAGATTCTTCCTATACATCTACTATAATTTCAACTTTCTGACATAAGAAACTTTTAACAGTTGTACCTATTTTCTTTTTTTCTTTATTGATTAAGGTATTACATATGTGTCCTTATTCCCCCAATGCCCCCCCCCACTCATGCCCTCACGCCCCTGGTGTCTGTGTCCATTGGTTAGGCTTATATGCATGCATACAAGTCCTTTGGTTGATCTTTCCCCCTTATCCCCACCCTCCCCTACCTTCCCTCTGAGGTTTGACGGTCTGATCGATGCTTCTCTGTCTCTGGATCTGTTTTTGTTCATCAGTTTATGTTGTTCATTATATTCCATAAATGAGTGAGATCATGTGATATTTATCTTTCTCTGACTGGCTTATTTCGCTTAGCATAATGCTCTCCAGTTCCATCCATGCTGTTGCAAATGGTAAGAATTCCCTCTTTTTTCAGCAGCGTAGTATTCCATTGTGTAGATATACCAAAGTTTTCTAATCCACTCATCTGCTGATGGGCACTTAGGCTGTTTCCAGATCTTAGCTATGGTAAATTGTGCTGCTATGAACATAGGGGTGCATATATCCTTTCTGATTGGTGTTTCTGTTTTCTTGGGATATATTCCTAGAAGTGGGATTACTGGGTCAAATGGGACACACTATTCGTCTTAAATTATCATAAGTATGATCTAAGATCCTTAAGATAGTCCTTCACAAAGACTTTTGCTACTGTTTCTATTATCATTTATTGTCCTTCACTTTTAACTCTATTAATTTGTAAAATTAAAATACCAATGCTTTTATTAGAATTATGAAACCATAGCAATGGAAGAAAACTTTAGTGCTTAACTAGTCCAGAAGGCTTCAAACAGTGTTCCATTGGAGCTGAATTTCCAGAGGTTTAACAGGGGCCACTTTGGAGCAAGGAGGTGTCAAAACAGACAAGAAGCTATATATCCGCTACTCACACACACTTTGACAAGAGTCGGGCTGCTTTTAGCAGGTTTGTATAGCAGATTTACTTAAGGCTTAGTTCCCCAAAATTATAGAAAGGTTTATTTAATCACTTTTGAAAACCTTAAAAACCATTCATTTTGCAAATAAGTCAAATCCAAAGATAAACTAATTTTCTCAACATCACACAACTAGCTAATACAATTCAGTACTGTATTTGAATACGACACCCAATTTCTTGCCTCTAATCTTCAAATACCCAGTGCTCCATCTCACTGTCTAAAACGTTATTGTGTATGACAATCATCTTGTAGAGCTTGTTAAAAAAAAAAAAAAAAGCATACTCCCAGAATCCATCCCTAGTGATCTTAATGAGAGCAGATTTGGTTTTCAATAAGGACCACAGATGAGTCTGACAGAGGTAATCCTCACCGCACACTTTAACACGCACTGTACCATACAAGAACACCACTCCCCTTGGAAGCGCACCTAAATTTTAGATACAAAATTGCTCTCTGCAACAAAGAAAAACTTTTCCTTTAATGGAATATGTCACAACCAGAAACTTTGAGTTATTCTTTGTAAACTCCCTGAAAAATCCCACACAAGAAGGCTTATTCTGCTGTTTTGCCAAACACAGTACATTCTATTTACAACTTCAAAGTGGGCATCAGTTTTTCATTTAGAAAACGAGTACTGAGGTGGTCATGAAGCATGTAACTGCTACTTCTTTCAAAATTTTACCTTACATTAGTGAAAATGTGAAAGTTAAATCTGGCTCTTATCAAACATGTTATCTATAAATCCCAGGGGAAATCTTAGAAAATCAACCATTTAAGGAAAGGATTCTATGTTTTCAAAATGTAAGAAAATGTTTCAGTATTCTATATAGATTTTAATTTCACCTGCTTCAAATTAAAATTTGGGTGGTGAATACTTTTCCAAATCAAATTTTGAAAGCAAATACATTCAAAATGTTTTTAGGTATATATTTTGTTTTATAATTTGTGGTTTATTTACAGTTCGTTCACTTATAAAAATGAACTAGATACAGTTCATATATAAAGTTCCTTTTATAATTCAGTCATCTAAAAAGCTTTATTATAATATAAAAACCATAGATTTGTAAATAAGTGATAGCAATACCACTATATACCATAAAGGACAAACATACATCTATAAGAAAGTTGAAGAAAAAACCCAAAGCAGAATAAATGAAAGGCAAAACATTTTTTTTCAGTATACACAACTCACCTTCAGGAAAACTGATATTTAAAAGAATTTATGTACATAAACGTACCTTTAGGAGTATACATGCCTTGTTGCATAGAACCTCCAGGTTCAAAAACAGGAGCCTTAAAATCAGCTACAGCTGATAAAACTGATTCAAAGCTATAACTGCCCGGAATAATGCCACTTTTGGGATTTGGATTTTCTGGAATATGAAGTATGTGTCAAGAAAAAAAATTCATGACTAAAAGCCAGCTTTATAAACTTATTAAGGTACCCCAGTTTCTAACTGTTTTTGCTAAAAAGGCAGAATTGTCTGTAATATATGAAATTGGCCACAAGAGGGCTATATATAATTGTGAATTTTAAAAATATTTTTAATCTGGAAGCCTACTAATAAAGTATATGCTGAAGTTGTTCCCAAGTATATTTCCCCAAAACTAATTAATCAAATTTCAGAAAAGGAAAAAAAATAATTTATATTTTCATCATTTTGCAAATGTGTGCTTTCCCTTAGAAAATCAAAGAGAGCAGACTAAAAATTAACCAAGATTTTTACGAGTAAAGATTGTTTTTCCAAAAACACAAAATGTCATCTCAAAGTAAAAAGAAAAAGATGCTAAGCAAATTTTTTAAAAGAAGGAAACCAGAAAACCACAGACTCTTTCCCACTGGTTTCACATTGAAGTGTACAATTCTTTTAAATTCAAAATTTCTAACATGGTTTTGCTCTGTTACAGCACTGATACACAGTATATAATTGTTTTAAAAAATTCTAAAACAACAACAGGATGCTGCTTATGAAAATCTTCAAAGTTATCAAACAGGAATTCCAACAGGAGTCATTTCACAAAATTGTAGCAAATTATTCCAAACATATTCACAATATACAAAGTAATTTAGTCAAAAATTTACAAGAAAAAATATTTATCACAAAATAACATGATGATCTTGGTCTAAGATTTTATAACAACAAAAAATAACATATCCATGTATGCTCAGTCCTATACAAGGAACCATAAGTTTTCAAAGTTGTAGACAACAATCCTTGCCCTTAAAAACCTCTTGGTTTAATAGTAAACTCGAAGAAAAAATCCTCAGAATGTTTAAAACCCTGGTAATAATAATTATAAGGCAAACCTCTAAACTTTAACCAGAATTCCAGTCAGGCTATACGATAAAGTACTTGCTGCCTTTTACAAGGTGTCCAGCTTTCTTTCACAAATACTGTCCTAGAAGGTCATACATATCCTTGGGTGCCCAGAGCCATCAGTCCTGAGGTCTAACAGAGGCCTAACAAGAGCTCACTGAGAGCCCTAGCCGGTTTGGCTCAGTGGATAGAGCATCAGCCTGCAGACTGAAGGGTCCCAGGTTCAATTCTGGTCAAGGGCACATGCCCAGGTTGCAGGCTCGAGGCCCCAGTAGGGGGCGTGCAGGAGGCAGTCAATCAATGATTCTCTCTCATGACTGATGTTTCTATTGCTCTTTCCCTCTCTCTTCCTCTCTGATATCAATAAAAAATACATTTTAAAAAAAAAAACAAAAAAGAGCTCCCTGAGAGGTGACAATTAGAGGCAAAAACATCTGCCACTAGCCCTGAAGACACAATTGAACAAACACTTGGAGTTCTTTTTTCCATACTATTTTCAAATTCAAAAAAAAGTTTAGTCAAAAAAGTGATATATCTTTAATCTATAAAAATTACTTATTATTTAGATCCTGCAACTATTAGTAAATTAAACTTTTAAAAGGATATGAGGTCCAGCAATGAACTATGTGTCCTGTCATTCATACACAGCTGGGCTACCATCTCTGCCCTAAGAATCTCATCATCAGACATTCCTAAAAATAATTAAAAACAGAATTAATAAATCTGAATTAACAAATTATAAAGAAACAACTTATCACACATTTTATTAAGCTGTTTACCAAAAATAAGATGCTTTAAAAATTAAAGAGCAAAGAATACAATGCCCCAAATATAACTGCATTTTAACTACCTGCTGTTTGCAGTTCCCTTAAATTAAGGGTTTTAACATATTAAGTTTGAAACACTGTTTATATATGTGCACATCCTTTCCTTTTTTCCATAAGCCAGTTATTAACACTGGGAGGGAGAGGAAAGGGAAGAAAATATTTAATACCCAAGTATTAGTATCACTGCTTTTTACCTAAATGTAAACGAAGACTCAAAAGAATCACAAGAAATGTAAGAGCGCCTTCTAACATCGACCTCTCATGCTCTGCATCAAGTACTGTGTTTTGATGTTGCGACGCCATTGTCAACAAATCCACTACCTTAAATCTATGAGAAATATTTGAGACAAATTTTTTGAATGTTAAAACAAAATTAACTTAAATTTCAAATACTTCCTAATACCTGTCTTATAAAAGTATGCTTACCTTTCAAAGACAGATGAAATAAAATAATCTGGGTCAAGTCTAGAAGCACAAACCTTCAAAAGACAAAAAAATCAAAACCATCAATTTTATTTCTCCATATTCAGTTAAAAAAAAAACAAAAAAGAGCTCCCTGAGAGGTGACAATTAGAGGCAAAAACATCTGCCACTAGCCCTGAAGACACAATTGAACAAACACTTGGAGTTCTTTTTTCCATACTATTTTCAAATTCAAAAAAAAGTTTAGTCAAAAAAGTGATATATCTTTAATCTATAAAAATTACTTATTATTTAGATCCTGCAACTATTAGTAAATTAAACTTTTAAAAGGATATGAGGTCCAGCAATGAACTATGTGTCCTGTCATTCATACACAGCTGGGCTACCATCTCTGCCCTAAGAATCTCATCATCAGACATTCCTAAAAATAATTAAAAACAGAATTAATAAATCTGAATTAACAAATTATAAAGAAACAACTTATCACACATTTTATTAAGCTGTTTACCAAAAATAAGATGCTTTAAAAATTAAAGAGCAAAGAATACAATGCCCCAAATATAACTGCATTTTAACTACCTGCTGTTTGCAGTTCCCTTAAATTAAGGGTTTTAACATATTAAGTTTGAAACACTGTTTATATATGTGCACATCCTTTCCTTTTTTCCATAAGCCAGTTATTAACACTGGGAGGGAGAGGAAAGGGAAGAAAATATTTAATACCCAAGTATTAGTATCACTGCTTTTTACCTAAATGTAAACGAAGACTCAAAAGAATCACAAGAAATGTAAGAGCGCCTTCTAACATCGACCTCTCATGCTCTGCATCAAGTACTGTGTTTTGATGTTGCGACGCCATTGTCAACAAATCCACTACCTTAAATCTATGAGAAATATTTGAGACAAATTTTTTGAATGTTAAAACAAAATTAACTTAAATTTCAAATACTTCCTAATACCTGTCTTATAAAAGTATGCTTACCTTTCAAAGACAGATGAAATAAAATAATCTGGGTCAAGTCTAGAAGCACAAACCTTCAAAAGACAAAAAAATCAAAACCATCAATTTTATTTCTCCATATTCAGTTTTACCTCTTATATCAATCATGTTGGGTTTTTTTTTTTTAATTTTTTGCATCTATGATGTTTTGAAATCTTGGGGAGGCCTTACAGACCCTGCAAGAGACTACCCAGGTACGTACCTTCTCAAGGAGAGCTAATTCCTAAAGAGAGTAAATAACTCACTTGGGAGCCAGCCTCTTATATGCAAGTCAGTCACCCCCTTTATCTAACTCACATACACCATCCAGTATGCCCCCTACAGTAAATCAATCCAGGACCAAGTACCAGATAGACAGGGACAGTCCCTATGCCGCAAAAACCCACCAAAATTATTCAAACTAGCCAATCCTAAAGTGTTTCCTCTGCCCTGACTTGCCTTTCCTATGGAAACACCAAAAAAAAAAAAGAGAGAGAGAGAGAGAAAGTTCTACTCTTATATTTCCCCCCTCCTGCTTCCATTTCCTGCACAAATCTAATGCTTCTTCTGTGGTCCTGCATGATGTGGCATGGCCCCTTCTCTTGGGAAATGTAATGAACAAATTCTTCTTTCAATAGCAATGACCTCTCTGTGTTGTCATTCAGTCATATGAATAAATTAGAATCCTGTGGGTACAAATGAGACATTTCCAATCTAAAGTACAACATCTATTATCAAGTTGGCTTACCTGTAATAGGTAAATGTCAGGATCGATCATGGAATTACAGAAATGAGATTGAACATAGGTCATGGCTTGTCCTTTGATTTGCAGACCATTTCTTACCCACATATTGCTGTGGATTTCAGCAAGACTTGCCTAGTAAAATAAAAATTATGTAAATTGGACAAAGAAGTCATCTAAATTCAATCTTTATAAAATATGTTATATTGAAAAATCACTCCAAAATATTTTATAACTTAATCACAGTATGAGCCTGACATTCTGTCCAATGTTAATTTAAGACATTCAATTCAAATATATACTTTAAATTTTTTAAATGGTTTATGTGGTCTCTTTTGTTGGAATTGTATATGTGAGTTAGTTTTATAAGAGTTATTTAGTGATGGCTTCTGGATATATTTATAGTAATATTCACTGAAATATTAAATAAGGAATCTATGAGAAATATTTGAGACAAATCAAGTAGGTGAATTACCCCAAACAACATGGATAATAAAATAGTGGTGCCACCAAGGCTATAATCCATTAGGTCTACTAACTCCCCAAAGCAGTGCTATAAACTTTCCCTACAAATAAATATAGTGAAAATAATTCCTGAGAAAACTATAACTAAGTGTAAATCTCATAAAAGCAAAAATTCCTAAATATAACCTAGCAAAAATATCAAAACTAAGTTTAATGTTTTTTAAATCTTTATTATTGAAAGTATTACATAAGTCCTCTTGTTCCCCCATTGATTCCTTCTAGCCTGCCCTCGCCCCCCGCCTCCCACCCCAGCAAAATTTTTCAAACATTTTGGCTACTAAAACAATGATAATGGCATAAAAATAAAATAAAGGAAGAATCATTTAACCAAATAATTCAATCAAAATGCTTTAAAAGCCTGAATACATACTTGAATTTGGAGTGGATGAATCATTAGTTTCATTAACATTTCCTGATCTGGTAAAACAGAATCCAAATCTAGTTCTTGACATTTCACAGCCTAAAAAATATGATTAAAAAGTTACTAATTGAATATTTATTTTCTAATATTAAAAAAAAGAATTGTTTAATGATAATCTTACCTTACTCAGAAACATAGCATAGTAACGATGTAGTGGCAGATGAAAGGTGACTTGGTTGGGAGCTGGCTGGAATAAACAAACAAAATCCACAAGTCAAAGAATGTTTTACAGAAGTTCAAAGAAGGTTTTAAAATGTTGAAACCACACTTTCACCTTGATTTATTCCTATATTTTTAATCAAGACTTAAAATTTTAGAAGTATAGCTTTAAAAAATACATAAAAAGATAAAACTATTCTATTTTAAACACCTAAATATAAGTTCCTGAAGGCAAAAATTGTATACTACTCAACTCTGAAGCCTCTGAAGCCTCCAGCACAGAATAAGAAATGGGAGAGATGTCCCTTTACAGTAGGCCACTTGGGAATCTTCAAATGCATGCATACCAAACACATAATAGTAACATGAACAATTGCAGCTCACCGACATTGAGCACTCATCATGTGCCAGTCCCCACTTTATTCACATTACCCCATTTAATCCTCATAAAAATCCTGTGAAGTAGGAACTATTAATAGTCTCATTTTATAAAAAGGGAAATTCAAGCTTAGAAAACATAAGTAACTTCCTAACAAGTAGAAGAAGTTAGTCTGGACCCACTGTTATATTCAGAGTGGTAAGAGCCTCTGATTATAGTCCTAAACTGAGTATAGGTGAAATGCTTGCCTAGGTTCCTTCACGAGCTAAGTGAGATGTTCCCCATATCAGTGCTGAACACACAACTTCCATAATTAAGCTTAGTACAATATATCTTCAAGACTTTTGGCAACCTTGTGACTATTATAGAATTTGTATTTTAAATCTGTGAATCCCATGGGTCACGCTATCAATATAGGGCAAAAATACACAATAGCTATCTTTTTTAAACAAATTTTAAAAAATTTAAAAAGTATTTTTAATACTTTTATAAATTTTAGTAAAATTTTTTCATGTTAAAAAATATTGTCCAGAACATTCAGATAATAATGCTAATGTAGTATCAGTATAGAACTATAAAGAGCTGCAATATGTCAGATCCGTGAAAGTTTTTTTCAAAAATATGAGAATAGCATCCTCCTCATTATGTGAATAAAAGTCTATAAATTAGTCTGATAAATAAAAGTTTGCCTTCCATAAAAAGGAAGAAATTTCTGACACATGCTACAAGATGGATGAACCTTGAGGACTTTTTGCTAAGTGAAATAAGCCAGTCACAAAAAGACAAATACTATGTGATTCTACTTATATGAGTTACTTAATTAAAATCATAGAGACAGAAAGTATAATGGTGGAGTAAGGCTAGGGTGTGGGAAGGGGAATTTAATGAGTTAGTTTCAGTTTTGAGGGGGGGAAAAAACAACAACAACAACAAAAAACAGCAGAGGTTCCATCTGTGTAGGATTCAAAAATCACCCAGGGAATTGAAGTAGTCTGAAACATGGTCTTCCTTCTACATATGGCATATTGTGATGCCACTTTATAAGAGGAATAAAAGGGGCTTCTAATAGTAAACGTGTCTGACTAATTAGAAGCAAGCCCTTGCTTAATTCATACAGAGCCTGTTCTATGTTATTCATTATTAATAACAAGCACCTTTGTTCAAACCCCCTCTAGAACGATGACCAATTTAAAAAATTGTGATACTGTTTCCATCAATATTCCCCATCCTATTCACATTTGCACTGTCATTTTTACCTCTTCAAATAAAACTAATTTACTCCTGACAAATACTGAGACATACACATTTAAGCACAGGAAAAAATATCATGCCCTTCTCTAGGAAATAAACAAACATAAGTAATGCACTGTGGAACCTCCTAGATGTCAAAGAACTGGTGTCCCACTTCTTCCTTTATAAAACTTAATGATATTATTCACTCTGACTTCTTTCCCTTGTCCTATGAAAAGGTATTCATTATTTTCAGTGTTAAATGTAATCTAACAGTTCTTTTCTTAAATGCTTTTACATATATCAAAAATGTACATACCTCATCTACAAAGTTAATTGCATCAAACCAGTCTTGAAGAGCTTCAAGGCAATATCTAACAACATTTCGAGTATATTCTTGGGTTTCCTAAAATAATAAGTTATACAGCACATATATATGTGTGTGTATTTTCAACTTCAAATTATATGCAATACATAAAACTAAGTTATATGCATTATATATAATGGTAAAATATTTTTTTCAAAACAAGTACATTTGTCATTTCAAGAAATCATCCTTTCACAAATACTAACAATCAATGACAATTATAAAAATTAAAGAACACAATCTGCTACATATTCCTTTAAATGAATCAAAGCTGAAATAGATTTATATAATATAAACCAGGTTCCATTTCAAGACATCCCAAAAATATTATAAATTCTCTAATCTTATTGTTTAACAGGTACAGAGTTTCTTTTGGGGGATGATAAAATGTTTTGAAAATGGATAGTGATCATGCTTGCACAACATTGTAAATGTACTTAATGTCACTGAATTAGGCACCTAAAAATGGTTAAAGAGGTAAAATTTATGTTATATATATTTTACTACAATAAAAAAACAACAAAAATAAAAAGGGAAGAATATATAACTACTATAAGTAACCTATAAATATATTTGTTTGCAACAGAATTTAGAAGAAAAAGGTGTAAGTATGTGTCACTAATGCTTTATAGAGAAATGGATCCAGTGAAATAAGCATCTATTAAGTTAAATGGGAAAATAAATGATGATAGCCTTTGCAAAAATAAAGTGGGCTAAGAATTTGAATAGACATTTACATGAGAAGATGCTCAACATTATCAGTCATTAGAAAAATACAAATCAAAGCCACAGTAAGATACCATCCATATAAACTAGGATAGCGATAATTTTAAAATGTAAAATAAAAAGTATTGGCAATGATAGAAACTGAAACTCTCATACATTGTTGGTGGGAATGTAAAATGCCCAAGAGAAATTAAAAGCATATATATTTACACAAAAACTTGTATACAAATGTTTACAGAAGCAATATTCATAGTAGCCACACACAAAAAAGAATCAATTCAAGAATGGACAAGTAAAATCTATGTGATGGAATACTATTCAGCCATAAAAAGAAATGAAGTACTGATTAATATATGCTGTAACACAGCTGAACCATGAAAACATTACTAAGTGAAAGAAGCCAGACACAAAAGGCCAAATATTGTATGATTCCATTTATATGAAATGTCCAGATAAACAAATTCAGGCAGAAGGGAGATAGGGTTTCCAGGGGATGAGAAGAGGTTGAAATTGGAAGGTATGAAGCAGGGAGGGGAAGGTGATAAAAATGTTCTGGAATTAGTAGTAATGGTTGCACAACTTTGTAAATATACTTATACTATAAACTACTGAACTGTACACTTTTAAAAGGTTAAAATGGTGAATTTTATGTTATGTGAATTTTAAATATATATGTAAATATCTTTTTACATATGTAAATTACTCTGGGCCTCTAAAGAAAGCTAAGTTTCACATTCATTGTTGACTTCTTCATCCTGCTCAGTCTCCATGTCCTGTTAATTCTTCCTTGATATTATTATCTCGTAAGTTCACTCCTATTTCCACCTATTTCTGCTACGATCCAAACCAAGTATCACTTATCTAGTTTCCTTGCCGATAGTCACTCTGTTCTAATCTATCCCATTTATAAATATTTATCTTTATAAAAATACTAGAGGCCAGTGCACAAATTCGTGCACCTGTGGGGTCCCTCGGCCTGGCCTGTGCCCTCTCACATTCCAGGACATCGGACTGCCAGTTTTGAGGATCGGCCGAAACCGGCAGTCCGATGTCCCCCGAGAGATGTAGTAGTGCCCGAAGCAGCAGGCAGCTGGGGAGGAGCCCCAGCTAGGGCTGGGCACCACTCCTACCCATCCCAGCCCTGCTGTGCCTGCCACTGCCGCTGCTTGGTAGTGCTGCCTGGGAAGCTTCTGGCTGAGCTGTGCTCCCACTGTGGGAGTGCACTGACCACCAGGGGGCAGCTCCTGCATTCAGCATCTTCTCCCTGGTGGTCAGTGAGCATCATAGCGACCAGTCAACTAGTTGTTCTGTTGTTCGGTTGTTTAGGCTTTTATATAGAGATATTCTTTTAAAGCACATTCTGTTTCCCATCTCTTACAGGAAAAAATATAATGGCACTTATAAATTACAATAAATAATCTGTCATAACCAAACTAACTGGTAGATAATTCATGACTAAAGAAACTTTAAAAACCAAATGTTCTCCTATTTTATCAAGGATTTGGACAAAAGAGTACCATTATTCCTTCTCAACACTAATGTAAACTGACACAATCCCTTTGGAGAATAATTTAAAAAGTGGGTATCAAGACTCTTAAAAAGTGGGCAGTTTATTCCATTCCTAAATATAGCATATTTAATAATCTGTTCAGATGATCTCTCTCCCATCTCCTCACCACTAACACACCCACTCAAAAAAAATTTAGTATGCATGCTAACTACTTGTTAGTTTATCATCTTTGGCAAATTACTTAAATTGTATGAGTCTCCGTTTCTCATTTGTAAAAATGGGAATTAATACTACTTACTTCCTAGTACTGTTATGAAGTAGCAAATGAAATAATGTATGTAAAATGCTCTGTGTCAAAAAATAAATAAATAAAATGCTCTGTGTCATAGTCTAGCACTACTTCTGACTACACTTCTAAGCAGTTAAGTGTCCCAGAGACAAGGCCAGACACTTCTGTCAAGTATGCAGTAACCCAAAGTTGCCACTAGGTGGAGATTTTATAGCTTGTTTGTTCTGTTCAAAAAGCAAAAATTAATAATATTCTAGAAATGAGCCATCCTTTATCCATTCTATCTGTTATTAAATAATCTAGCACTACTGTTTTAACTAGCTCTTACCATTTTCAACAACCAAACAGAATTCAGGGCAATCATACAAAGTAAGCTATCAGGTGAAGTTCCCGTTTTGATTGCTAATCTTTTAGTTTTCAATTTTCTAATTAGAGAATATAAACACAAAGAAATAGTTTTCCCCCCCCTTAAATAATAGTCTTTCTTCTAGTTTACATTTCTAAAACCTGACAACACTGCTGCTAAAGACATTCTTGCTTAAGAGACAATTATAATAAAGCGGTAAAGAGCACTGATTGTAAAATCCGATGAATTTGTTTCAAACTCAGCTTTCACTTGTAGTTTTGTGAACTTGGACAAGTTATTTAACCTATGAAAGAAAGGGATGATACTATTTACTTCATTAGAGATGGTATGTGGATTAAGTAAGAATATAACCTCAAGAATACAGTGTAAAGAACAATGTCTGGCAAACTGTAAGTGCTCAAGAGATCATCTTATCTAGGACCAAGACACTACTGTCTCAGATACTACCAGGACAATATGAACTTGCTTTCTCTCTCTTCTCTCACTTTACAGATTAAGGGAACCGTAACACATTGCAATCCTGGCCTTCAGAGCTAAAAATAAATAAAAATAAACTACTGCCCGGTAGGCGTGGCTCAGTGGTTGAGCATCAACCTATAAACCAGGAGGCTACAGTTCAATTCCCGGTCAGGGCACATGCCCGGCTTGTAGGATCAATCCCCAGTGTGGGGCATGCAGGAGGCAGCCGATTAATCATTCTCTCTCATCACTGATGTATCTATCTCTCTCTCCCTTTCCCTTCCTCTCTGAAGTAAATAACTTAAAATATATAAATTACTGCCTGGAAACAATGATTTCTCATTATTATGTAACCTCAGCTTCATAATCCAAAGTCATCCTCAAAACTGTTGGCACCTCCTAAAATAATGTCTTTTTATTATCAACATCGTATCAATCCTCCCTCCTAAATCACTGTCTTCCGTTGGCTTACATGACACTGAATTCTTCTGGTTTTTCTCATTCCCTCCATATCCAAATGTTAGTTGTTTCTTCAGAGTCCATTGCTCTTCTCTTCCTACTTTATCTCATCCCATTGCCAATGATAAATATCATCTATATGCCCAAGGGTCTAAAATTTATAACCTTAGTCCAGACTCCTTCTCTGAGCACAAAACTCATATAGCCATCTATTCTAGCTCATTCTACCTCATATATTCCAGCTGCCTATTCACTATTTCCACTTGGATGTTTCATAGGCATCTCAAACTTAGCACATCTAAAACTAACTCTAATCTTTTTAAACCTACTTTTTCTATCAATCTTTTCTATTTCTGTACCTAGTTACCCAAAAGTCTTTCTCTCTCACTCATCAACAACATACAATCCATCACTAAGCCTATTGATTCTATCTCCAAAATACATCTTCAATATCTAAAGGGCATCTTGAATATACCTTGAATTTCAAAGCTGAATGTCCTATCTAGACTATTATCACAGCATCTTAATTGGTTTATTTGCTTCTAGTCCTGATGCTCTCCACATCCCCCTCAATCAGTCTTCCCAAAACTACAATGATCTCTTAAGTATATATCTGATCAGATCAAACCTCTGTTTAAAAATCTTCACTGGCTTCTCCTTAAAATTAAATCCAAGATTCATTAACATGATCTATAAGGAACTGCTTTAATAATCTGATCCCTGCCACTCTCTCCAACTCCATGTTCTACTCTGTCGCTCTAGCCACAAATTCCTTAAAAGGACCAATCACTGGAGGCAGGCTATTCCAGTCTATCTCTCCTACTACCCCGATAACCCGTTTTATTGTTCACATAGCTGGTACCTACGTAATCTTTCTTCAGAAAGACCTTCACAGATCCTCACATCTAATCAGTCTGAGATCCTACCATCACAGCAATCTGTTATTATTCTATAAAGTACTTAGAGAAGTTTACAAAGTAAAGCTACTTGTTTATTTACTTAATGTCTATCTCCCCTATTAGACTGCTCCATGAGAGAAAGAACCAAGTCTACTTTTCAACATCAAAAACCCAAGAATCTAGATACTCTCTAGCACAGAATAGCATTCAATAAACATTTTGAATGAACAAACAAATCACATATTATATGACAGTTTATAATAAAGTATATAGAGATTAACAAGGTAATACATATAAATCTAACTAAAAGAACTTAAATGAGCAGATTAC